CGTCCCGCGCTCTGCCGGGAAGCGAGCGAGCGAGCGAGCGAGCGAGGCGGCGCGGCGCGGCGCGGATCGGGCCCTCCCCTCGTGACGGGCGGGCGGCGCCCAGGAAGGGGCGGAGGCTGCGGCGCGTGGGCCGCCCGGCCCGTCGCGTCGCCGCCCCGCGCGGCCCGCAGCAGAGCCGGAGCGCGGCCGCCGCCCCCGCGCAGGGGACGCCGGGAGATGTAGTGCGCGCGCGTCACTGAGGGGGCTGCCGAGGCCACGCCCCCGCGGCAGGCTCGTTCGCTCTTTCCGCTCCTCGGGCGGAGCTGCTCGCCGCAAGGGCGCCTGCGCAGCAAGGCCCGGCGCTCGCGGGTTGCCATCCTCGCGAGCCGCCCGGAGCCCGTGCGAACGGGCCGGCACGGGAAACCGGTCCCAGATCGACTTCACGTCTCCGTCCAGCGCTCCCGTTTTATCCTTCGCCCACATAATGCAAAGTAACGATCGTGCTCGCACCGTCTAATGTACATTTTTCCCCTTCCCACACTTCAACACCTGAATCAAGGGTGCTGCAGTTAATTACATCTCCTTGCTTGCTGCAGCGGAACTGGTGGGAAAAATAATAATCTCAATATTTTGCATTCTCCCCCAGCCAGGCATTAACATAACACACGTTACTTTCCAGAGCACGAGAGGACAAGTCTCTGCCTCAGCAGCTTACAGTGGAAAGCTTGCATGGAGCTGCACAATCAGCGAGGGAAGGCCGAGTGCCACACGCCACTCGTCACCGCTCGACCGCGGTACAAAGAGGCACAAGCAAGGCCACCCTGCACAGCCCCATCGTCTGCTGGGCCAGGCCACTGCACACAGGCTCTCCTTCCCAGTAGCCGGGAGCAACTGGTTAGGCTGAGGCACCCAGACACGCCCACTTCCTATGGGAGCGTTGTGCTCAGGGATGCGAGGTCTCCTTGAATGCCTCCTGTCCCTCACAGTTGCCTTCCGGCTCGCTCTCTCAGCCCAGCCCCTGCTGACCTCGTACCCTTAGAGGCACCAAGAGCACGAGAAGCTGCATTGCACTGGACCAGCCCCTGCCTGGTCCATCCCGCCCACAACGGTCCGTATCGACTGGGACCAGCAGCTCTCCAGCTTTCAGGCAGGGCTATTTCCCAGCCTGCCCTGAGGATACCATCAAGCTCAAACCCAGGATCTTCCCCATGGAAGGCAAGTCCATCACTACTGAGTTACAGCCCTTCCCAAAGTCCCTAGTCCTCAAGGTGCAGAAGCAGCAGCTGGCTGGGGAACAGCAGACGCTGCCTTCTGCCAAGCCGAGGCCTTCTCTCCGTCTAGCTGTGTTTTGTTGGCGTTCAGCAGCGGCTTGCCAAGATGTCTTCCCGACCCTTCTGGGAGCATCTCCTGGGAGCCTCTGCCTGCAAGGCAGGTGCTGCGGGCTCTGGCCTGTCGCAGCAGCACCAGCCAGAGCCACCCTGCACAGCCGGCCGCCCGGCTGGCGGAGGAATGACGTGTCCCGGAGGAGAGGCGCCTGGCTGGCACCACACCCGCACTTGCGAGGGAAACCTGCCTGACCACGTTTCAGGGAAAACCAGCTGCGCACGTAGCCGAGAACGGCGATGCTCCCGCTGGTTTTGCACCCGACTACTGGGAAGGACGGCGGCGGGGGTGGGGGGGCAGTCTTGCAGCCTTTCTTCTTGCGGGCAGCCTCCTTTTCCCAGTAGTGGCCTGTGAGGATTTCTAACCCTCCGTTCTCATTCCAGCGGCCGTTGCAAAGTAAAGCCACAAGCCCGATCGGCCTCTCTGCCTCGTCCACCAATTTACCTGTTTGCACGCACTCCTGGGGACCCCCCACCGCCCTTGCTTCTGCTGCAAGACTTTGCAAAGGCCCGGAAGCCGGGCCAGCTTCCCACGTTTGACAGCTGCGCACGCTTCCTGTGCACGAGGCAGTGCCGATCTCCTGAGCGTGGAAGCACACGTGGCACGCCGCGAGCTCTGCCAGGGCACAAGCACGTCCCGATTTGCTCAGCCTGTGCACACCTGTCCCCCCAGGTTGCTCCGGCCACACCCAAGGCACCCGGGAGCGGAGGCTCGGCTTCCAGGGAGGAATCTGGAGGACTGAGCACCATGGGAGCCGATTTCCTCCCTTTGCACATGACTGCGCAGCCCTTGGAGGCTCTGGCCACAAGGATGAAAGGAGGCAGTTCCCAGCCTTACTTATCTGGGACTTGGTAAGTAAGTGTGCACCCTTCTTCCGAGTGTGCAAATGCACGTGTGAAGTCCCGCCCTGAGCAAAGGCACCTACTTTTCTACCGCTCTTGTGCAGCTGCACGGTCTCGGGGCTTCCTTGGCCTGGCGTCCTCAGAGGGCTGGCTTCTCATGCTACGTCCTCGGCAAAGCGGAGGCTGCTGGCACTCCTCACCCTGCATCTCTGCCCAGCCTGCTACGGGTCAAGGAAATTTAGCAGAAAACCATTATGATAAAACATGTTTTATTGTTGAGACGTTTATACATTTTTCCTATTGAGAAACAATCCCCAAGTATATTTTCTGTAAAAAGTCAAACCTGGGCTACAAAGAGCAAGAATGGAAATCCATAACCTGATCCGGAAAAAGAGAAAGCCCAAACGCCCTCGGAGCGTGGCAGCCAGAAGCCAAGGCGGCCAGCCCACACACGTTCCGGCCCAGAAGGAAAGGAGGGCATGGAAGCAAAAGAATGCAGAGATTCCTGAGAGGTCGTGATGCCTTCAGCAATTACGTTGCCGTAACCTGGGCTCAAGGATGGCAACCAAACGGCTTGAAGATCCTGCTTGGATTTACAACAGTAGAGAAAGAAGCAAACCGGCAAATAGCAAATAAATGTTCCGGGGTACATCTGCCCAAACAAAATGGCTGCTTTGCAAAGTCTCAGAATGGGACGCCACCTCATCCATGCGCCTCACGGGGTGCCCTGCTCCGCCTGGGAAATGTTCTGTTTGGACACACGTCTTAAATCCCCCAACTGAGTTTCCCAGTCTGCTGCCAACCAGGCGTGATTTCAGAATTATTTTTCTGTCTGGCGCTACTGTGCAGAGTTTGTGTCTCTGCGCCCAACTGCTCACGCTCGTCTGTGTCCCGTGCAGAGAGACGCAATTTGGATACAGGTGCCAGAGGCCCCACTCTGCAAAGGTGCTAGTTGTGGTCATGGACAGGCGGAAACCAAGATCACGAGGTTTACAAAGGCTGACGCACCCCAAGTCCAAGACTGCAGCATCTTATGCAAAGGAGCCTCCAGCCTCATTCAAAGCTCTCCCAGAAATCCTCCCCTCACACCCCTGTGAATGAGGAAATCCGCTGGCCAAAGCCTGCGTTCCTAAAAGACATGCATGATGCTCAAGTCTGCGAAAACCAGGGCAATCTCTGTGAAAGATCAAAAAGTACTTTGTTTCCCTCAACTTAAAGATCAAGCCCACCTAGGGTGGCGGAAGCTTTTCCAGCAGGTGAAGCCCTCCGTTTTCCCCAGTGTCGCTCCGACACAGTCAGCGGTCGCAGCTCGGACCTGCAACACCCAAGCCAGGTGCTCCGGATTTTGTGCCAGCCTTTGACACTCAACTCTGAGGCTCAAGATCAGAAACAGGAAACCAAACTACCCTCCGCAGTGGCTCATTTATCAAACAGGAAACCGAACTACCCTCCGCAGTGGCCAGGAGTCTGTTCTCCCCTTCCAATTGGGAGAATGCGAAACAATTCATTGCCCCGGAGTTTCTTGTTCTGAGTCCGTCACTCTGTGAAAACATCTCAGCGCTTACAGGGACCTGCAGCTCCATGAAAGAGCTTCCGACTTGCCAAGCGGAGGGCTGGCGTGAAGCTGGGGCAGTCTCCAAAAGGCCAGTTGTGCTGCTCAGAATGCCCCCCACCCCGCAAAAGCCCAGCAGTTTTCTGTCAAGTGGACCTCAAAAAAAAAAGCCCACAAAATTGTCCCTGACGTGTGGCTCACACTGCCTGGGGACCAAGAGCCAGAGCAGACAGAACAGCGGGCTGGGGGGTCACCTGTCTCCCTGCGTGCGAGGGGAGGGTGCCGGTGCCCCGGGCCATCCTTGGCCTTCCCACAGGGGTTGGGGTGGCCACTGAGCAGGCGGAAGGCCTTGCTCGGACCCATCAAGACGCTCCTGCTCTTACAGGCGGCAGAAAAGGCAAGAGGGGGCGGCGTCAGTCTCACTCCTTCCTGGAGCCCGACTTTCTGCATGGAAAGCTCTGGCACAGGCTGCCGGCAGGGGGAAAACGAGGGCTACAGGCACAAGGCCGGTTTCTGCCCCCGGGATGGAGACTGGGCTCACACGCTGTGCTTCAAACCTGCGGCAGCACAAAGAGGGCTCAGCATGCCGAGAACCAGGCTTCCGCCTCTTTGGGAGAAGGCGGCAGCTACACTGCACAGGGGGCAACTTCAAAAACATCGCCTGGGACCCGCAAGCCTTGCCCTGCACGGGGCCAGCTTTCAATTCTGTGTCTTCTCCGAGATAATTTCCCTTGGTTCGAAACAGCAGGTAGCTCCTTGGGTTGGTCAGAACAAAAGGAACCCACTCGGAGGCAGAGTGAACGAACAGGCCCCCCGGCTCGCCCTCAGCACCACAGTCAAGCGAAGGGTAGGCACGTGAACTGCAAGCTCCTGGCCGTGGAAAACAGCCTTCTGAAAGACTGGGCTGGGCCACGCAGCCTCACAGCGTTGCCCTTTCTTTCAGGTCAGTCTGCCAGATTTTTTAACCTTGCTTCCTTCTTGTGCAGGGTGGTAGAGAAAAGTACTCTCAAAATAGTCATAAAACACACAAGAAAAACTACAAATGTGGCACCTTTGAAGGTTTAAGCAGCAAACCACCAGCAAATCTTACACTAGCAGACTCGGTTTCCTGAGCAAGTTTTCCTCTCTGCCTCACAAAATAGCCTTTCGGGTCAGACCAGCAGCAGTGTCAAGCAGCCTGGCGGCACCCGCCTTTCCGCTGCTTTCGAGAACACCATGCGGCAGGCGGGCGCCATCTGCGTTCCAGCACCTCTATGGTTCAAACAGGAAACAGAGACTGTCTCACCGCATCCAGGAGTGTTTTTAAAACTCCTCACTCCCTGCTCTTTTCATATTACTTTCGCTTTAATAACTGATTCCGATTAGAGCTTGTTCATCATTAAGTGCCGCTTTGCTCATTGCTCCAAACCAACCTAGCCACAAATTGTTTTAGTCCACTGAGAACTAGACTCCAGTTGTAAACAGTGTCTGGGGCAGTGCAAGGAACTTGAGCTGCTCAGCTCTCAAAATGACCCAGCATTAGACTATTTTAACCCGAGTCTCCTTTGATACGCAGCAAGAACTTCAGGATGTTGCGGGACCTGAAATGACCTACTCAAGATCTACAGTTGAACACGCTGGACAGCTATACGGGGCTAACCAACATCTTTGCTCACTGCCTCCCCACTGCAAATTCAAACCATTTCAGGATAAGACGTCTATTGAAAAAGCCAGCGCTTCTCTCCTGAGAGTGGGGGAAGAGTCCCATGCACAGACCCACCAGGGCCAGGAAATCGAAACCTTTCACCATGTTTGCCTTCAGAACTGGCTAACCAGTGTCTGCCTGTCACCACGTTCTAGACCCAGCCGGTTTCCGTAAACTGAACACGCTCCAGAGAAGCCTGGAATATTTTTGTAGTTGGATCTTTTAGGAAAAAAAAGTTTAAGAGTTTGGAATGCCCATCTCTGCTGCGCTGTTTGTGGGCTCAGAGGTGATTCCTGCATGTTAGACCACGCACGGCAAGAAAGGTGGATTACCAAGTCGCAAGACACGGCCCCGAGAGCCCGCTGCACGAAGAGTGCAAGGTGCAGGTCTCCAGGTTCTCCTGGCGCAGGTGCTGACGGCAGGGCTGAGGCGGCGCTCACGAGAGCCCCGCTCTTCCCGAGTGAGGCCGCCTTGGGCAAGGATCTTCTGAGGCCGCCTCCGACACAGGTGGGCGCTCCTCGCAAACCGTGCGCGGCGCAGTCCGACAGCGGTGCTGTGAGCGTGCCCACCTGAGCGTGGCTCCTGGCTTGTGTGCCTCCCCCTCCCAAAGCTGCACATGCCGCACCTGCGTGTGTTCGCACCCGTTCCTACGTCCTGCCCTCCGCGGATCCAGGCAGGAGTTCCGAGATCATCGCCAGCGTATGCAATTCCCACCGACGGGAAAGGGAGCCGGGCGCAGCGCCAGCGCTCCTGCTCATGTGAGGCTTGCCCAGGAGGAGACGGGCTTTCTGGAAGGACACGCTTGACAGGTGTAGCTTCCCACACCTAGCTTTGCACCTCGTTCTAAACCCAGGTGTTTAAATAAAGACTCTTTATTTCATTATCCATTGCCTTAGTAATCAAAAGCCATTGCATCAATACAATTCCAATATTTGCTTCTTTTAAAAGCCCTAAATTTAACAAGAGAACCAGACAGAAGATACTTTGGCAGAAAATAAATGATTATTTTTCCCTGTTTCTCTTAAAAAAGTACAGCTCAGTCACCCAAGCAGGATACTCTGTGCAGTCAAATATACTCTTTAAAAAGGATGCACAAACCAGCAGGCAGGCGGGTTTTTGCCACGGCTACGTGGGAACGACAATGTTCTTGGCTAACAAAAAGAGGAGGGCGAGGTCTGCGTTCCCCCCCGCCTGCTCCAGAGCCTCGCCGGCTTCCTGGGGTGTGAAGCCAGCCCGCACGATCGCGTCGATGGCCCTCGGAGGGAAAGCGGCGGGCCGAGGAGCAGCTGCAGGATCAGGGGAGCCGGCAGGCAGAAGGGAGGGGGCCTCTGCTGGCCCCCCGTGTGGCAGCCTCTGAGCATCCGCATCCGAGGCACCTGGCACGCCAGGTTCTTCGGCCACAACGCCCGGAGCAACCGGGCCTTGTGCGAGGCGTGAGATGGGGGGCTGGGTTTGCCCCGAGGCTTCACCGCCGAGAGCTTGGCCAGAGGACGAATGCTGAGACAGGATTTCGGGGCGTTCGCCGCACTGAAGCTGATCTGACGCAGCTGAGGAGCTCAGCAAGACCGAGCGGCTCAGTTCTGAAGACTCGTGGATGACCAGCGTGTTCTGCCTGCAGCGCACAGCCAGGTGGGCCATCCCCCGAGCGCCACTGCTCTCCGTGGCAGCCTCCGAGGACGGCGCCCCTGCCGAGGCCTCAACACCCCCCCACCCGGGCAGGGAGAGCCGCAGACCCTGGCTGTCCGGGCAGGTCTGCTCACGCTCCTCTTGGGAAATGGCCGCGTGCTCTGTGGGGGCAGCTGCTGCCTGGAGGCCGTCTTCATGCTGAGCAACTCTGAAGTCCTGCTTGGAGCTGACAACCAGCAGCTGATGGAGCTCCTTCAGGGCAGAGCTGAGGGAGACGCAGGGGTCTTCGGCCCGGTCGCTCGGCTGGCCTCCGGGAGGGACCGCAGGCATGGCGGCGGTGGGTGATTCTGCCGACTGCGCAGCGGGCCTCCCAGGCTGCCTCAGGTCGCTCGCAGGAGTGGGGCCAGTGGGCAAGGAGGACGGTGCCTTCGTCACGGCGCCTCCGGAGTCAACCGCATCTGCCAAAGCAGCGTCCGGATTTGTGGAAGGATCCGTGGCAACAGGAAGAGCTTCCTTGGTGACATCCACGTCCATGAAGGTGTCGCCTCCCGGGCACCTGTGCGGAACGCCTTCCGGCATCCTCCCCTCCCCAAAGGAAACCCCCATCTCTCCTTCCACGGGGCGTCCTCCGCCAGAAAGCAAGTCATCAAAGCCCCACTTGGCATGAGCGGCCTGTGACAAACCCGCCGCCGGGCTCCAATTTCCCCTGCCACTTGGCTCACAGTGCTCGCCGAGAGCGTGTTCCTGCCCGGAATCGCACGCCTTGGGGTCCAAATGAAGCTCATGTGCTTGATTCCATTCCGCGTGCTGGGAAAGCAAGGGCGGGTCCCGCTCCTGGGCCGGCCCGCGAGCGCTGTCCGTCCCCCTTCCACCGGCTTCAACGGGAGGCTCCATCTCCAGGTGGTTGTCTTCAGGCATGGACTTGTGCAGCCCGACACAAGCAAGAGGCTTCCCGAAAGCATTTGGTGACAGGACCGCCGGACCGGGGCAGGGTCCTGCTCCAGTGCTTTCAGCTGAAGCGTCGCTGGCGTGGGCAGAAGCAACACGATCAGGCAGGTTCGGTGGCGGCAGAGGCGGCCCGTGATTTTCGAGAGTGATTGAGCATTCAGGAAGAGAGTCCACAGACTTTGCAGCACGAGGATGGAGAGACACGGCTCGGCCGCCCTCGTGGGAGCAAACGGAAGGAGCAGAGGCTGAACGGTCGAGCAAGCGGCTCGGGGGGCACGCGGTCTCAGGGCCCTTCTCCCGAAAATGGGCTGGACATTTAGATCCGTCGGAAGTTGGTAACAATGGTGTTCCTAGTGAGGTAGTTTCTTTGTCACTATTCTCTGTACATGGGAGGAAAGGGAAAGAGGGTGTGAAACTCTGGATGGGGGGGGAGCAGATCGTGGGGTCCCGGATGTGGGGGGCAGGGCCTTGTTTGGCACCCCCAAGAGAGGCGTGGGCTGCGTTGCGGGGCCGGCTTCACTGGGGCCCTTGGGAGAAGCCACCCCGGCCTCTCTCCTCCCTGAAAGGCTTCCCCCACCAGCCGCTCTGCAAAGCCGGCCGCCCCAACCCGCCTGCTCCCCAGGCGTGGCATGACCGCCGCTCCCAGTAGGTGCTGGGAATCGGAGTCCCAACACAGAGGGAGGGAGGGAGGGAGGGCCACCCGACTAGCAAAGGTTGGCCGCGGCCACATGAACGGGCTTCTCTGTCTGCACACCACATGCCTCGATCCCACATCTGCCTCGAGTGCTTAGCGCCTGCACATCAGGGGGGAGAATCAGCAGCAGCGAGCCCACGGAAGGGGCTGCGAGGGTCCGCTACGCAAGGCGCGCGCTCAGGGCAGGCTCGGCAGGAAATCTACCCGAGTTAGTATTTGGTGGAACGCTGTTACTGTCCAAACAAAGCGGCCCTTTTCTTCTTTCCAGCACAAGGCAGGCAACGGGGCAAAGGATCCAGCGGTGCGGTGGCTGTCCGAGGGACGCTTGCGTGCCCTAAAGATACTTACGCGGAGGCCCCCCTAAAGAAGCGGCGTTCGTTGGGCTCGGCCCAACCCTCCCGGCCGGCCGGCGCGTTCCCGCACGCAGCGTGGGAAGGTGCGCATGGCGGCGTGGCTCGCGGCCTTCTCACCCATCGGCTTTGCGAGACGAGCTGCATGTGGGGCACGCGCGCATTCGGGGCCCGGGCGCTCGGCAAGCTGTGCGTGGCCGGAGGCGTCCACTCCTGCCCCGCGGCTGCTTCTCCGAGAAGCTCTGCGCGGGCAGTGCGGCCGCCCCGTCGATCGGCACCGTCCCTCCGACCCGGGCGCTGCGGCTCCCCCTCCTCCGCGGGCCTGCTCCACACCAGCCCGCTGAGCCCCGGGGCGGGAAGCGGTCCGTCCCACCCCCCCCGCCTCGAGGCGCCGGCAGAAGAGCTCGCAGTACCTGGTCTGTGGCCCGCTCCAGCGGCAGCAAACCCACAGCACATGCATCAAGGCCTCTGGCGCTCTGTCCGGATTAGGAGACAAACACACCAAACTCGTGTTAGCAACACCGCATGCATGCAGCCAGCGCTGGCCCTGCCGCCTCTGGGCATCCCTGCCTCGACCCGGCCCGCTCCTCCGGGCCACGCGCCTCTCCTCACGGCATGCAGGGCCGGGCTCCTCTCGTCGACCGAGAAGTCGCTGCTCTCCGGGCGGAGTCTGCTCTGGCGGGGGCCCTGGGTGGCTGCTTCTGCTCCCTAGGCTCGGCCTCGCTGGACTTGCTGCCTCCTTCCTGGGCCTGCTCTCTGCTCTGCCTCTGTCCTCCAGTTGGCCCACATGGAACCAAGCCAGGCCCATGCGGAAAGCAAAGCCCGAGGCTGTACTAGCAGGAGGTGGAGGCGCTCCGCGGGGACAGAAAGGTGGCATGTTGGGGAAGCCGTGTCCATGCCCACGCCCAGCAAACGCTGGAGCGCCCGTGTTGCACGAAGGTCCTGGCCAAGCTTCTGCGCCAGCCCAAGGCGGGTGCCAGGCAGCTCTCGCTCGTGGCCAGTTCTCCTTGCCCGCTTTCCTCTCTGCTCTCCTGCCATCCAGACCTCGCTGCTCTTTGAGAGAGTGTGTGACGGAAAGAAGACCCTGGCGGGCCTCGGGCTCTCCTCTGCCTCCTTCCTTCCTACACAAGAAGCTGGACATGGCGCTGGCTGGACGTGTCAGAGCAGGCAGGCACAGCCCGCCTCTGCAAATCTCTCACTGCCAGGGTCCCTACGCCTGCACGCCTCTGCGATGGGCCACAGGAATCAAGATTAAGCAGGGCTAGACGGGAACAGCTACCACGCTGGCTAGCTCCTTTCCTGGTCTGGAATGCCGTCTTTTTCCCAAAAGGAATGCTCCAGGCCGCTGTCCAAAGAAGGCACACGGTGCACGCTTCCTCCTCTGGGCGTGACTTGAACGTGACCGGCCCAGATCTTTAGGACGAGGCTGGCAAGGGACGGGGAAGCGAGGGACTCACCAGCCACGAGGCTGCGGTTTGCTAAGCTGAGCTGCGCTGGCTCTGGCCAAGAGGAGGAGAGAAAGGCGTGCGGGAGGGGGCCGGGGGGCCACAGTAAGGGGCCGGAGCGCCGCCCAGACGGGCCCGGTGCCCGCACAGCCCGTCAGCAGCCCCTCGGCCAATGCCCAGGGTCTTCAAGAGCGCGGGGTGGAAGGGCTGCGGTTGCTGCCGCGGCAGAGATCCTGCCTGCCCGGCCCAGCGCCTGGACGGACGACCCGGGAAGGCCCTGCTAAGAGCCCGGCAGCGGGGGCTCCCCGGCGTCATCCGGCTGCACCCGCCCTCTCCGGTCCGGTGCCCCAAGGCGTGAACACAACTCAAGACCACGCTTGGCACTCGAGGCAGCAGCTTTAATGTCCGAACCAGCGCGGCGGCGAGCGACTCCTGGGGTGGGGAAGCGGCTCCTAGAGGAGGATGCACAGGGACCTGCGGTGGGCGGCACATCCGGAGCCCCTGTGGCGCCCTCGCGGCCGCGCCCTCCCATCCGCTCGGCTGACGTGGCGCTCTTGGAAAAATCCGGCAGCAACTGGCATTCCAAAGAGGTGGGGGAGACATGGGGGCGTCAGCCACTGTTCCGGTGCTTCGCGTGACTGAAGCCCCCCGGCCGGGCCCACTGTACTTCGTGCAGGTTGTTCTGCAGGGCACACGGTCTCGGGGGGGACGGGGGGGACGCTCCTTGGGTTCGCAAGGGCTTGGCCAAGGGGGGGGGGGGGGTGCTGGGGCCGGCTGCGTGTGCGGATGGGAGCCGGTATGCCCAGAAAGGCGGACGCAGATCCCGGTTCCAATCCATCTGGGGCCTCGGGAAAACCAGGGTCCTGCAGCCTGAGCTACCTTGAAGCAGCTCCTCAGTCCTTGGCCAACCGAGTACAAACAAAGCAAAGACTCTGGCAAACGGCCAAGACGGCGGCCTTTTAACTGGTTAATCGGTTAGATTTTACAGGTGCTTCAATTATTAATAGACTAAAACTGCACCCCAAGTAGGGCAATCCACTGCTTTTAAAGTAAAGTTTTTAAGGTGAGAAGCACTCCCAAAACTCGAGCAGCAAACCCCGCAGCCCGGCCCCAAGCAACACTCGCATGCAGCCTCCAGGGGCCTTCCCCACCCGCCGCCCTTCTGCCCCCCACAGCAGTTCTGCTGGCAGGGCAGACGGGGGCCGCCATGCAGGACCTCTGGGGAGTGCCAGCTCTGTGGGACGACCCCGGAGCCCAGGGAACGTGCTTTCCCTTTCCGAGTCACACACAGACACAGCAACCGACCGAAGAGCGCTGCCCAGGCAACCCAGACTTACCCACCTTAGCCGAGGGAGCCAGCGCAGGCGGGGGAGGGATCCCCACGGGGCCGGGGCCCAAGCGCGCCAGACCGCCCGTCTGCAACCCAGCGCCTAGCAGCGGCCTGAAACCCGCCCGTTATGCCGCAGCGCAAGCCCCTTCGCATCCCCGGCCACCGCTCCCGCAACGTGCCGCCGCCACCGCCACCTCACGCTGCGGCCACTCCCCACCGGGAAGCCAGAGGGACGCACCCTTCCCGAGCTGCCCTGCCCAGCCGCGGAGCAGGGGCAGCTGCCACGCCGGCGCTCGCCCCCCGCCCCCGACAGTACCTGCTTCCTCGACGGACTTCTGCAGAGCTTCCGCCAGCTCCTGGTCGGCGATCTCCTCCGGCCGCACGTCTTCCCGCCCGGCCCCGTAGGCCAGCCGCGCGCACTCGGGGAGCTCCCCCTCGGGCAGGAAGGTCGTCTGCGAGCCCGTGGTGCCGATCACCAGGACGTTCTTCTTGAGGTCGATGGAGCACTGGTGGCGCTTCAGCATGTCGAGCCCCAGCAGCATGTCCATGGGCTGCTCCTCCAGGATGGAGAACGAGCACGGCAGGAAGTCGCCCTCGATCTGGACCTGGGCTGAGAGCGGCAGGGGGCAAGGGGCCAACGTGTCACTGCTGGGGACCCCCGCCCTCCCGGAAGAGCCGCTCCCCCGGAGCCCGCGGGGCAGCCCCCGACTGCTTACCAAGGTGCACGCGCCCAATGATCTTCTGGGTGCCCACCCCTTTCGCGATGCCCGCCCAGCGCCGGTCCACCAGCCGCATGATGTTGCACCTCTCCGCACAAGCCTGGCTCATGATGGTCATCTGTGCGCCTGCCGGACACAAGATGGCGGCCGTCACCTGACGCACGCATCCACGCGGGCCGGGCCGGGCCGGGGCTGCAGCTGAGGAAGTGGAAGAGGAAGAGCCCGCCCCCACCCACCCACCCCTTCACTGGGGTGGTCCCAAGCAGAACTGGCCCGGGTGCTCTCCTGTGGGCCCGAGGGCAGAGCGGCCCGGAAGGCAAGAGACGGGAGCCCAACCTGAATCCACGAAGGCCTTGACCGGGTGCCCGTTCACTTTGCAGTTGATGTAGAGCATCACCACCTGGCCGAAGCTCTCCGGCGCCTCCTCCATGGCGATCGTCATGTTCTCCTCGATGTTCTGCTGCCTGCAGCCGAGGGCAGCACGGGGTCACGGGGCCTCCCCAAGCCATCCCTCCTCCCCCGCAGGGACCAGAGCACGGGCCCCCCGAGCCCAGTGACAGAGCCGCTCCCCAGCCTCCGAGACCGCCCCTGCCCGCACGCAGCCTCCGTGCCCACCAGGCAGTCCGTGGGCAGGAAGCGCAGCTGCCTCCCACACGCTCCTCGGGACTCGCCCGGCAGGCAGGAGCGTCCCACCCGCCCCCCACGGAGCGGCTACCTGATGTCCTCCTCGATCTTGGCCTGCGCCTCGAGGTCAAACGGGTCGGCGGAGAACAGGCGGATCCTCTCCTGCTCCCTGCGGGCTCGATCCTGCTGCTGCTCCAGCAGAACCCGGGTAAACTTTTCTGGAGTAAGACAAAGCACTTGCCTTCAAAGGGGGGGCAGGGGAAATCCAGCAGAACCCCCAGCCCTGAAGGCACGCCACGTGGCTCGCCCGGTGGCGGCCCGCTTCGGCTTCCGTTCAGCGACGTGCACGCCAGCGGCTTCCAGAACAACCCCCCCCCCCGAGCCGAGGCGGCCCCACCTCGGAGGAGGGCGGCCACCACCAAGGCCCCCGGCCCCCCACTGCCCCCCACGCTCCAGAGGCAGCCCCGGCCCTCTCCCCAGCCTGGTGGCTCCCTGGCGGTCCCTCCAGCCCCGTCCGAGGCTGGGATGCCCCTGCCAAAGGTCGAGCTCCTGCGGGCGTGCTGCAGCCGGCGTGCTGCTCCTGGGAGAATCTGCCCCCGCACCCCTGCACGCCCACTGCTCCCCACGGAGGGAGCCCCCCGGCTCCTCAGTCCTGGGAGGAAAGCCGCTGCCCCGCACTCACCGAGGTCCCCGCTGAGCAGAGCCTCTGCCAGGGGTGGGTTGCGCTCCTTCAGCAGGGAAAGCTCATGCGGGTTGGCCAGGAGCATGTCCCGCAGCAGCCCCGGGTTGTCCAGGCCCTGTGGGGCGGTGGGGAGCTCGGGCGGAGAGGGCCGGGGCCCCGGAGCAGGCTGCTGCGGCGGGGGCGGCGGGGGCGGCTGGGCCGACGTCCCAGGCACCGCGATGCTGCTGAAGTCTATCCTGGGCAAACCTGGTGGGGGAGACGTGGCAGTGCTGTGACTCCTTCCGCGGGACGGCCGTCTGCAGCGCTCTGGCCGAAGCCAGCAGGTAGCCAGTGGGCACGGACGCCTGCCTCGCTCCGACCTGGGCCCCCGGTCCATCCAGCGCAGGACGCCCAACACGGACTGGCAGCAAAGGCTCCCTTGGCTTCCGGGGGACCGCCTGGCCTGGCCCGGCCGGCCCACAGGGGCCCTTTCGGCACTGCATCCCCTGCCTCCGGAGTGTCTGGACCCCGGGGGGTGGGGGCGGAGAAATCCCAAGTCCAGGCTCTTAAAAACGGAGAGGTTGCTAATCACGGGCTCGGGCTGCAGGAAGCCAGATTCCGGCTCGGAGGCAGGAAACGCTTCCTGGCTGTTGGTGCGGTGCCACCTCGGAGCAAACGAGCCAGGCTGGCGGTGGGCTCTCCCCGCCGGAGGCACTCGAGAGGCAGCTTGACGGCCCTCCGAGAGGAACTGTTGAGCTGGGAGCCCCGCATGGAGCAGGGCCTTGGACCCGCTGGGCCTCCGCTGGCAGAAAGCCCCATGTTCAAGCCCTGGCGGCAACACCAGGCCAGGCGGGCCAGGGCCCCTCCCTTGAAACCTGGACAGCCAGGGCTGCCCCTTGGTGCTGCCACTCCCGAGCTGGGCGGCCCTCCTGGGTGACTCGGTGCGAGGCTGCTCCCCATCTCCGCTCGCAAGGATGGCCGGAGGCTGGAGCAGCACTGCAACCGGGGCCTGGCAGAAGCAGCTCTGCAGGAAAGCCGCACCAGCAATGCCGGGACAGCGGCCCCTCTGCCCCGAATGGCTCGCCGCTCTGCTCCCCGCCTCGTGCAAAGCAAGTGTCCTCGAGTGGCAAACTGGTGCAGAGCCTATTGGCAAAGGGACCTCAGGTGGAAGCTCCGTGGGACGGCCGATGGCCCCCAATCCGGGGGGTCCTGGCAGCGGGGTGTGTGGGCCTGCTCCAGTTCGGCCTGGACTTCCAGCCGGTCTGGGACTGAAGGCCACCAAGCGGGGTTTGCGGCGGTAGGCAAGGGACCGTGGGCCGAAGAGGGAACGCTTCTCACCAGGAAAGGGAACGGGGGGGCGCACCTCCGCGTTCTCCACTTGCTGCAAGATCACCACATCCCCGTCTTTCAAGCCGTAGGACGCCAGCGACCGGCGGTTGTCCGTCAGCGGCCGCTCCGCATAGACGATCTGGAAGAGGAGGGGATGGAGTGAGACGCATGCTCCGCGCTCGGAGGGATGTGCCACGAAGCCCCGCAACGCGGAAAGGGCTCTCCGAGCCCAGGACATCTTTGGGAGGGGAGGGCGCACCTGGCCAGACCTGGCCCGGGGGACACGGCTGCCAAACACGCCCGAGACTCACCGCTGTCTCCAAGGCAGAGGACAGAGAACCTCCCAAGCAGCCCGCCGAGCACAGGGGAAACGCGGCCACGTTGTCCTCGGCCAAAGCCGAGCTCATGCTCTCCCGAGCCACGCAGGCATCACCTTGCTCTGACATGGAAGTGGCCTTCGTTTGTGAAGCCCGCCCCCCCCCCACCCCGGGTGCCACGGCTTGAGAACCAGTGCAGGGAGCCACGGGCCGGGTGCCACGGCTTGAGAACCAGTGCAGGGAGCCACGGACTGCTCCCAGAGTACATGGGCGGGTCTCCATTTTGGGACGGCTGCTCTGGGCCCCGCCCCACAGCCGCCTCACCCCACTGAAAGCTGTGGGTGTGTGGGATGTGGGGCGTGGACTCCACAAGCAGCATGCCTGACTACGGGCCAGCTGGGGATCGATTCCACCCACACAGAGCAGGCCGCTAAGGGGGCGAGGCCGTCCTCTCCTCCAGAGGGCCGGCTCCCCACTCACCCTCCGCGCAGCCCGCGCCACAGACTGCGCGAGGCCCGGCCGGCAAGCCCTGCCCCACTGTCCTGCTGGCAGGGCCGGCTCCTTTCTGAGCAGATACAGGCGGCGAGGAACGCTTCGGCTCCCAGGAAGGGGCTCGCCTCCCCAGCCCCGGGACCCATTACGAGCTGGAAGAGAGCACGTGCAAGCAGCCCTCCCCCTCGGGATCTGCGGCCTCGCCCGTGGAGGTGCAAGATGGGATCCTCCAGATCCGCCCACCCGCCTCAGCAATCTGGCCCGCCTCGTGGGCGAGCCGCTCCTGCCAGGAACACGGTGCGCCGCGGGGGAGCTGGGGTGGCACCGTGCCGCGCCCCACCAGCGCCAGCCCCCACGCGTCATCTGGGCTGCCTGCCCAGGTCCCGCCTGCGCCTGCCACCATCACTTCTCCCAGCGCCTACAGAGGAAATTGCTGCCCTTCTCCCCAGCCCGGCTGCCTGCTCAGTTTGCGGGGCAGAGAAGCGCCGGGGACGGAAGCACCTGGGAGGGCTTGATGAGGAGGGAGGGCAGGCCCAGTGCCAGAGGAGCGGCCAGTGCTCGGACACCCCCCCAGGGCGCTGGGCACGGCCTGCTGCCCCGAGGAAGCACAGCCACTTGCATGGCGGAGTGCGGGGTGGGAGGGAGCAGGGGGTGCTGCCATTCAACAGCAGAAAAGGGCAGGGGAAGAGCTTTGTGACCCACCCGGGGCCTTCCTGCCCAGGAAAGGACACAAGGGCCTGGGCCCAACCTCCTAGAGCGGCCGATGCCTGCCCAGACTCTGCTCTGCGGTGTTTACGGCCTCGGAGCAAGAAACACAGGGCAGCCTCCTGCAAACCGCCCAACGGAGGGCCGTGAGAGATGGGCAAAGTCCTCGTGCTGTTGCCCTCGCGGAGCTGGACTCCAGCCTGAGGCTGCCTGCCAGGTTGCTGCTGCCCATTGCAACAGATACCAGTGCCAGGCCAAGAGGCTGTTCCACTCGGAGGCCTCCCCTCGTCCCAGCTTTAACAGCTCTGCAGGTGCAGCATCTGCATAAGCCCACTCAGGACTCCCACTCTCCTGAGAATCATCACGCATTCCCCTCTCTCTCCTGGCCTTTCAGCTGCGGCGCTCGAGCCGCTCGATGAACCCTGCAGTTTACCTAGGCAATGAACGACGGAGGGCTCTGACGGGGGCCTGCAGAGCCATCTGCAAACAAGAGGGAGGTTAAGGACACAGCCCAAAGCAGGCAAGGCCTTGGCAGCACTGGCAGCTCTGAGCCCATCGAATGACACAACTTGCTCCTGAGGTGCAAACGGAAGCAGCAAGACGGAAGCCATTCCAGGGGTCGGAAACAGGAAATGCTTGGCATGGAGAGTCACCAACTCACTAATGAGTGCAGCTGGTCGGACAACAGCAGCCCCCTTGAGCAGCAGGCAGGGGAGTGCTGCAGCTGGGAAGCCTGACTTGGCCCCAGATCTTGCACACTTGGAAGACTAACTTCTCTCCGAGCAAAGTTTGATCTCTTTCAAGAACGGGCCAAGAGGGAGGGCAAGCACAAACAGTAACAAACAAACTGCAAAGCTGGATTGACAAAGGCCATGAACACACCTCACTGCTGCTGTTTCCTCAGCTGCAAAAGGGAAATATTAAGGGGCTGATTCTACGACTTTCAGACTAGGTAGATAAATGAGGAGTGAGGAGCATGAGCAGTCGAGGGCAAAATTCTGTGTGTGCTCAGACAAAAAAACAGCATAACTGCAGCATTTCCCAACCAGAGAAAAAGGGCAGGTGCAGGATTCCGCCTTACACATCAAATAACACGGAAAGAGCCATACAGGTCTTTCAGCTTTCATTATAAGCTCCGACTCAGAGTCTTCCTGGTGTCACAGATGGCAGAAGCCACCAGAAGCCTTGGCAATACCATTTCCGCAGGTCCTACAATGCCCCATCTCGAGCTGTGCATTGATGTCATGAAGGAAACACCTGTAATCATTTAACACTAACGAGGTACCCATATTAACTACCAAGGTGTCCCAGCTGCAGTGCCCAAAGGAAGAGGGTCACCCCTCGACCACCCTAAGCACTGGAAAAATGCAATACCAGTGCTCATTTACAGAACTGAAAGGTACTGAGCAGGAAGCAAAACAGAAAGAGAAAACAGCTCATGTCACTCCTGCTGTATAGAATATGTTTGAAAGAAAATAACTAAACACTGGTTCAGAAAGTGGAAGTTCAGCCAAGAGGGGTGTATGCTCAAGGCATCCTCTTAGGTCTAAGGAGGCCCCCATGAATTTAATCTTTGCTGTGGATTAGTCACTTGCAAATTCCACACTGCACCTTGCACTTAAGTCCCCCCAAATTTTTCATCTTCCCTTCAAATTCGACAGAATTTAGCATGCCCTTTTAGGTACCTGAGAAAAATTCACCTTAATCATGGGCCTTCCTAGCCCCCTCTCAGAATGTGGAAAAGCCACTGGGGCTCGGGACGAATCCTCACCAACTTGGAGGTATGAACGTGCGACGTTGCGCTTCGGTTTCCCTCAGCCCCAGCCAGCATGGCAGCCCCACTTCAGGACAACCACATCACAGCACTTCCCACAGCAGCCCACCTCCAACATGGAGCCCACTATCCCTAGGCTGGTTAGTGGATGCTGGGAATTGTAATCTGAAACACTGAGGGGTACCAGGTTGGGGAAGCTGGACGGCAGGCAGGAAGATTGCCGGATAATTACAACTCCCAGCATTCCTGGTCACTGGGAGGCAAAGTCCAAAACACCCGGAGACCGACCTTCCAGCCACTACTGCGCTTTAGTTTCCACCCCGTGCTAATGGGAATTGCAATCCAAATCGTAATGAGGGCTGCGAGCTCCAGAGCGGCACTGGGCAACTCGGCCCCCTCGCGAGTTCCCGCTCGCCACCGCGCCCGCGGCCGGTGGCGGAAGCGCGTCGGCACCCGCACACTGCCAGGGAGCCTCTCGCCTACCTCGGCCGGCGGCTCCCGGACCCCACCCGGCGGGCGGGCGGGCGCAAGGCCCCGGCAGGCTCGAGGCGGCGGCA